GCCTTGCAGGTCCACCGCTGGGCCCCTCATGGGGCTCGGCAGTGGAGATGCAAGGGCGGCGGCGGCCGGGACCGTTGGGGGCGGGGTGGGTGGCCTTATGACACACTTCCGGTGATTTTAGGGGGTGTGGCCTTATGACACACTTCCGGTGATGTCAGGGGGTGTGGCATATGCTAATGAGTTATGCTAATGAGTTCCCCTAGCTCTTTTTCTACGAAACGATCCCTGATTACTTGCTTTTCATAGCAAGCAAGAATGTGAGAGACACCCCAATGGGCCCACTTGGGGGACTGAGTAGGACGGGGTTTGAGGCTGGGAGAAACTTCAATGGCGCGTAATGCCACAGAGTCCAGCTTCCACAGCCGCTGTTTTCTCCAGGCAAAGCAATCTCTGTCCCCTGGAGATCAGTTGTAATAGTGGAACATCTCCAGTCACCACCTGGAGGTTGGCAGGCCAAGTTGCCAACTTTCAGGTGTGGCCCGGAGTTCTCCCAGAATTATAAGAGACCTCCAGACTGTAGAGATCAGCTCCACTGGAGACAGTGGCACCTCTGGAGGGTGGATTCTATAGCATCATACATCTGTTGAGCTCCAAATTCCACCCTTCCCTGACTGTCCTAGAGTTTCCAAACCTCTGATGGAGGCGGGTTTCCCCTGCTTTCTGGCCCTTCAATCTGCCTCTGGCCACCTGTCCGGCAGGGGAGCCCTGCCCCCGAAGAGCCCCATTGCGCCCAATGTGCCTGGCATGATGGAAGTCATTTGCACCGGGCATGTCGTGTGGGGGACGCTCTAGCCTAGGGGTAGCCAACCCGTGGTTCAGGAGCCACATGCGGCTCTTTCACACATATTGTGCGGCTCCCGGCAGGGCAGCTGGGGAAGCAAAGGGGAGCCATGCTTTCTCTCCCTCCCACCTGTTTGCTTTTTTTGTTTGTTTCTCTCTCTCTCTCTTTCTTTCCACCTCTTTCCTTCTTTCTTTCCACCTCTCTCTTTCTCTCTCTCTTAGACAAATAAATATCATTAGCAAACAAATATCATTGGACAGATAAATATCATTATCCATGTCTGTTTTTTTACCCCTTTTGTTTTTTATTTTTGGCAGTCTCGTTTCATGTTATGAAAAGGCAAATGTGCGTATTTTAAAATAAAAACGTCTGTGTGATATTTGCTCCTGTCTTGCAGCTCTCAAACATCTGACGTTTATTCGATGTGGCTCTTAGACTGAGCAAGTTTGGCCACCCCTGTCCTACATTGTCCCCCGCACAATGTGCCCGGAGTGATGACATCAGTTCCGGGTGATGTCATCGAGGCATGCACACCAGAAGATTCCAGGAGCCAGGCTGGAGCCCCCCGCTGGGACCAAGGTAAGGCCTGGCAACCCTAGACTCTCCCCAGTCTGGAGTTGGCAACCTGACTACAGAGACTGGCTCCCCTGGAGATAATGGCTGCTTTGGAGGGTGGACTCTGTGGTATTATATCCCACCGACGCCCCTCACCTCCCCAAACTCTGCCTTCCCGGGGTTCTATCCCCAAACCTCCAGGAATTTCCCAAATCAAACTTGGCAATCCCAGTTCTAGCCTACTTCCAACAGCCTGTGCAAATGCAAATCTGCTAAGCACACACAGCCGGCCACTCCATTTGCATAAAATTACATACTTCAAGGCCGAGTTCTATCAGGCGCCACAAAATCACAGCCCGATGGTCTCGGCGTGCTGTGGAAAGCAGATAAGCGTGCCAAGGGCACAATCTAAACCGCAGGCCCACAATGGCTCCACGGAGAACAGATTGCAGGGCGCAGCAGCAACCCACAAGCGACTTCCTTCTCCCCAGGCGGCCACGGCTGGTTTGTTTGTTCAGGGATTTGCCGGCCACTCTAGGGGCTCTCTCAGACAAAAGGCTAAAGCCATGGAGTCCAGACCTCCCCTGGGCTCAATCGATATCACTTTGTTGGATATTGTGCTGTTGTAATCACTTAGCTCCTGGATTTCCCTTCTGAGACAGGGAAATTGCAGGATTACCGCAGCGCAACACCCATCGAGCCAGAATGGTGTAGCCATGGTAGGGTGATCAACCTCCAGGTAGTATAAAGGTAAAGGTTCCCTTGCTCAAAAGCCAGTCGAATCCGACTCTAGGGTTGCGGTGCTCATCTCCGTTTCAAAGCCGAAGAGCCAGCGCTTTGACAACAAACAAGGTAAACAGAATAACAAGCCAAAGGTGGGTGTGGCTGGATAACCACACTTCTGGTAACATGCAGGTGCGGCCTAATGTGCTAATGAGCTGTGCTGTCAGGGGTGTGGCCCCAATATGCTAATGAGTTCCTGTTGTTGGGCGTGGAATATTATGCTAATGAGTTCCGTCTGGGCTTTTTCTACAAAAAAAGCCCTGCAGAATGGTATAGCCGTGGAACAGATCCACCTCCAGGTAGTATACTATATCTGAAAAACACTGTAATTTTTTAAGGAATATACACAAAACTCTATTTGAAATTACAAAAAAACCACACCCCTCTTATTAACTTTTCTTTCGAGATGCAGTACAAGTACAAACTGAATTTA